TAATCCCAAGTCAAACCGGAATTTTATTCCATCTGAGTCACTGCTTTGTCCAGAGCTTGAATTTCAGAATTAAGCAGCATCTGTGTAAGACAGGGTAGCTCTGCTAACATTTAAGCTATTTTCAACTCCAATGATTCTCAACTAGCTATCTGCAACTTCTGAACAAGGGTTGTTCCAAGTGTAACATAAAATTAATCAAAGCAAAGTTATTTTCATTCACTTTATTATTGAAAGGAGGTATATCGTATTTAGAACTCAGGAGAAATGGGTATCTAAAAAAAGACAGAAGAAGAGGTAAAATGTGCAAGTCCAGCTTGTGGCAGTGTGGTGGGGACCCAACCACAGAGGCACCTGATGGCTGAACCGATTTAAGTAAGTGATCCTTTAGGTAACTTTAGACGCTTAGATCCTACAGTAAGACTGAGGCAATCAGGTTCTAAGTGACTCTGGTACATTATGTGCACAAGTGTTCCAGAAAGAAGAACCCCCTCAAAGTGTCCCCATGCTCCTGCCCACACATTCCGGGTCAGTAATAATATTCCTCACAGTGATATACCACTTAGCATTTCCCCAAAGCACTTTTGGGTACATTATTTCCTGTTACCTTCAGAATCGTCCTGTGATGGATTGTCTCCATTTAACTAATTAAGGACCATGGCCTGGGAAGGTCACGTGCTCGTCTGAGACCACACAGATGGTGAGCAGAGCTGGGGCCAGGCTATACCATGAGACTCCTGGGTCTTCAGACCCTCCGGCCTCACTTTAGCGCCATGTTGTGGGCAACATAGTAAAACTTAAGAGACAACTTTTTAGGCTTAGAATTTTATCTGTCACTATATTAAAAGGTTATAACTGAGAAAGTTTTGTCTCACAACCTAGGGCTCAGCTAAATAAATGAAAAAACTTCCAAGAGGAAGTTGAAAAGAATTTCCTAGAGGCTGTAACTTTTAATCTCTAGGCAAAAGTACTATTCTAATTTCAGCTACTCTCCCCTAAACCCAGAACACAGTCCTGGGTGACCTGTTCGTCCCCTACCTCCAATTTGTGCAATTCCTCTTTTCATCTGTAGGGGGTGCTGCTTCCTGGTGAGCAGAGCCCTACATCAGTCACTTGCAATGGTCAGTGTTGGGTCTGTCAGCAGACAGGGGTGGCCTCAGTCTGCAATATGTACTGCTTCTTCTGCTCTTAGAGAAGAGATTTATTCTGACTGAGTCACTTGCTATGACATGACAGGGTAGAAAGGAGTTATCAACCAACCTGTCTCTTCTCAGCAAACGTAACCTCAACTCAAAATAGCAAATAGATATCTTGAGGGGTAAAGACCCAAAGAGTCTTTCATAAAAGGGATTCTTTTTTTTTTTTCCTTTTTGTCTTTTTTTCGTGTCCGGAAAAGGATCGCAACCCTCAGTGTCACGCCCGTACCGGACCGGGACCGGCAACGGGATCGCAA